TAGGAGACGGAGACTGAGACCCAGTGCAGAGATCTCCCCTACCTAGGGCCCTCGACGCAACTAATTTTGCATGGCCTGTTCTCCCTCCAGCTTTCTGTTTCCATCCCTTCTACTATCGACTTCCTAAGGTGTAAGAGCCGTGCTGAAAGGATGAAAGGCTGACCTTGTGTCAGTCCTGAACGCCCTGCGGGAACCATGGGCACAGTATTCCCCAGTTTTAGTTGTCTAGCCCTTACCCCTTAAGGGCACTGAGGGGTGGACTGTTTATTTCCCCTACCAAGGCTTCCCATGGCCCAGTAGAAGCCATATTAGACCAATGATGCTTCATCAAATAGCCCCGCCAATTCAGACTCTATCGTCTCCCCGACCTCAGGCTCTCCATTGACCACGACCCTGAACATTGAAACTAATACCCACTCCTCAATGCCTACTAGTGCATTACCCACTCAAACCGAGACTCAATCTCCAGAAGACATTCCAACTCTCCCAACTTCATGTCTACCCTGCAGCCTCTTCATCAAACACCCCAACCTCCTTATTACTACCTTACAGCCTTATTCTCCACCTCTCCGTAATACTACCCCCCTCAACAAACACTCCTCTTCCACACGTCCCCGCCCTTCTACCACCACCAACTCTACAAATATCCCAAGTACTCTAACCCAGCTAAAGGGGACCGATTTTTCGTGATCCCCCTACAGCTCCTTACTCAGGCAACTCTTCTCTTTCAACAATGCCTCCAAAAACAAGTGGGCAGTGACTGCCGATATCCATCCCCCTCTTGCTCATAATCCCCTTACACCCCTCCCTCCTCCTCCCTCTCAATACAACCTAACCCCCTCAAATACGGCCTACTACCGATATCCATCCTCCCGATACTACCGATATCCATCCTTCTACTCCCTCCCAACACAACCCATCTCCCTCAACTCCAACTGCTGCCGATATCCGTCCTCCCGACACCCATCCTCCTCCTACTGATACTCTCCCTACACCACTTCCTCCTACTCCCACCCAACACGACCCACCCCCATCAACTCCTACTGTACGTACATTCTTCCTACCTCCATCGCCTCTATCATTTCCACTCCCTCCTGGATACACACGTGAAACACTTACGTAATCCCCTTACCTAAGCCGATCATAGCCCATTCACACTTCTTTACCCATTTTAACTCACAAGATCACTCTAGATAATTGACGCATAGCAACCATCACCCTTCACCCCTCCTCTAATATACTTTCCTATAGTGCTATATGACCCTAGATGTCTAGCAGATTTATCTTTGCTTTTTAACCATTAACCATCGGCTAAAATATGGATTAGAGTAAGTACACAGCTGGTTTATAAGAAAGCAAACTGTGAAATGCAGTTTGTTTACAAGCTGGGCATCGCACAAACTACTTGTCTGAGCTGGACGAGTAGTTCCGAAGCAGCAGCTTTTGCGGCCAACCAACCAATCCTTCGGGATTTGAATAATATCTGTCCTGCATAATTAAAAGAAATAAATGGATCATATTTCATCTCTGTGTATCCATTACTGCTGGAATTTGCATTGTTGAAGCCTTGTAAGTAATCAGGGAGATATTACTAGTTATTAAATAGCACATGCGGCATTATCATGCGTTGGGTATATCTTTCAATTCATTTGAATATGGAGTAGTCATGCCAATCAATTTAACTTTATATCTTGAAAGAAATACCTATTGATATACTCAGATTTGTGTTTTCTTATCATGCAGTATTTGTACATGTACACACGTGCATATATATATATATATATATATATATATATATATATATATATATATATATATATATATTACACACACACACACACACACACACACACACACACACACACACCACACACACACACACACACACACACACACACAACACACACACATACATAATGCATATACATATTGTATACAAATATATATATATATATATATATATATATATATATATATTATATATATTATATTTACACTTATTTATATATGTATACATATTGTAGATACAAATACATTACATATATTTGCATACACAAACGTATATACGTGTGTGTGTGTGTGTGTGTGGGGGGGGGGTTATGTAAATGCATAAATAACGCGTTGCCTCGTTTCACTTACGGCGGACTATTTAATTGCTGAGATAATTGCAAAAATCAGAAAACATTTCACCCAAACGTGTTTATTTCCCGTTAAGGAGGAAACAGCAAAAGCTTTCGGTAGTTGAGTCATTTGCTTCTGTATTTTGAATAGATGTGATACAAGTGATCAAATGTGATGAAAGTGCTTGTTTTTTTAAAATATTTTTTAATACAATAATTGAAATTAAAGATTCCAATTCATCCGAATGATGTACCCGGAGAGAGGAAAAACGAGGAATGTAAAACTAAACGCAGATCTTAATCTGATATGCCATTGTAACGAAAAGACTATATTTTTTGTAATATTCTGAAATGGAATTGTGTGTTAGCATAAATACACACCCGTATGTGTGTAAGAATGTAACAGTGTAAGCATGCCATACATATATTGTTGAATACAGGAGTCAAAAATAAGCCTCTGAGAATTCAGGATAAATCAAAATCCTTTATGATTTGCATTATACTTTATTGCATAAGAGGGAAAAATTGAAGAAGTGTGTGCGCGCACGCCCGCATCTATACGTATTGTGTATGGATGTGTATGTATGTAAAATAGTGGAACATATCCATCCGTGCTCTTTCTATGTGACTATTTAAGAGGAAGCGTGCAGTGCATGTAGTGGAGGTTATACACAAGCAACAGTACTCTCAGCAAAGGCAAATGTCTCTCTAAGCATAATGTGCGACTCCTCTGGTCCTTTCGAGCATCCGTCGTCGCCGTCATCACAGAGCCCAACACTTATCGCACAGGCTTTCGGGTCGATTTCTTCAGATGGTGGACAAGGCACTCTCCCAGAAAGACCAGAGTGCTCAGCAGAACTCCTTAAATGATAAGAGAAAGTCGGTTTGTGATTGGAAAGTCTTGAACGTGCTAAGGATATTCAAAGAGATCAAAACCTTTATGATTATTACTATTATTATTATTATCATTATTATTATTATTATTATTATTATATCATTATTATTATTATTATTATTATTATTATTATTATTATATTATTATTTATTATTTATTATTATATATTATTATTATTATTATTATTATTATTATGTATTTATTTATTTACTTTTTGCTTCTTGAACATATTTCATTCTACTAAGAACTTTTTTTTTTTTTTTTGCTACCATCACTGAGCTTCCCTCATGCATAGTTATTCTCGATGATAACAAGTACGCAAACACACAACACACACACACACACACACACACACACACACACACACACACACATATATATATATATATATATATATATATATATATATATATATATATATATATAGAGAGAGAGAGAGAGAGAGAGAGAGAGAGAGAGAGAGAGAGAGAGAGAGACGCTCAAGAACTCACGCCGACCAAGAGGAAGAAAACTCCACCGAGGTCATCTAATGTCAGGACCAGTGGCGTGTTTGACTTGTTCTCCTTCCCTGGCCTCGCCATACATGCTTTGGCGTTGGAGGTCAGGTTAAGCATGAGCTGGGTCACTTGTCCAGTTTCCACCAGGGATGTTAACCTGCGTGGGGTAGCCGTACTTCAGGAAAATATCCTTTTGAAACTTCTATGCAACTTCGGATACTAAGATCTTAGGTATTATGGTAAAACAGAGTAATGTAGTTTTCATATAATGTTTAGTATTTCTTTTTTATTTGGACTTTACACACATTTATTTTCTTCGTTTTACTGATATGGAATATTTAGATATGTGAATGAATTAATTCAATTACATGAATGATTTAATTAAATTAATATATTAGTTATTTAATTTAATTATTATATTACTTGCTTAATTGAACGAAAATCATGATACTAAAGGTATGGGTCATATCAACATCAGGATTAACGCATGAACAGCTATCACAAATGCCCTTGACCTTAGTTCCCACGCAGGGACGGACCTTACCACTTATTGAAGTCCGGGACGAGGGAACTGCCCTTGGGGAACGCCATGGCAAGGAGGGACGACGCGAGAGGGACCTTGCCGATGTAGTAATTGCACTGACCTGTCTCCATGTAGTCGTGGTGCATGATCTGATGGAGAAGGCGAGTTATATAAAAGGGGAAGGGATTGTAAGGTATTGACAGTATATATATATATATATATATATATATATATATATATATATATATATATATATGTATATATAATATAACATTGCATATATATATGTGTATATATATGTATATATATGCATATATATATATATATATATATATATATATATATATATATATATATATATATATATATATATATATATAATGCATACACATATATATGTGCACCGATCGCTTCACATGGTTCGTCGTGCCGGTTGACCTTCCTTGACCCAAGCATGAAATTTGACACAAACGGCAAATTCAACGACGACAAAGCCGTCTCTTGAAAGATCCAAAGCTTCATAGGTACTGCACTTCCCGTTTGGAGACTCAAGGTCCGTTGTGGTGTATTCGATCCCCAGCCCAATGCCCACGAAGTTATGTACTCTCCCCTGTAGGATTCTTTTTTCGTGACTTTTGTTATATGCAGATGGCTCCACATTCGCTCAGCCGCCATGGAGTCCTTATTTATTGTGCATGATTTTCCCCTTCCTTGAAATAGCGGGAAATGTGTTTTTCCTTCTTAATGCTATTAATATTGATAATGTTATTCTTATTGATATGATTATTATTTTTTATTAGAATATTAATAACACCAAAGACAATAAAATAATACAAAAGAAGCTTTCCAAAAATCAAGGAAAAGGGTAATCATGTGAGATAGGTAGGGTTAATAACCGACTCCTTGGTGACTAAGCAAGATAATGAACCTATATTTCAGTAGGCATGGCATGTTTTCTTACCGTC